TACTCTCATTTTGATCCTGAGGGGTTTATCTGTCCTGGATTCCCTATGTTGCCAGCTCTTATCTGTACCAGTGTATCTTCTCTGATCTAGCAGGATTTGTAAGGAAGAATTGGGGTCATGGCGGGGAGGGAGCATCAAAGAACTGGAGGAAAGTTGTATGTTTCGTTGGTGCTGTACTACACCGACTGGCTGTCTGCTCCCCAGACCCTTCTCTAAGGGGGTGTCCAGTTGCCTACAGATGGGCTTTGGGTCTCCTCTCCGCACTCCCCCTCATTCACATTAATATGATTTTTTGTTTTGGGTCTTTGATGTCTGATACCTGATCCTATCAATACCTCATGGTCACACAGGCTGGTGTGCTTCTTCCATGTGGACTTGTTACTTCTCAGTAGGCCTTGATTTTTATTGGTCAGTTTGACTCAATCTCTAATGACCTTTACCTGCTAATTCTATGAGTGTTCTGCGCCGTAGAGCACATTCAGGAACTCATTTTGCTGATGAGAGTAGATAAGAGACTGGATGTGAGATTCACTAGCTGGAAGGTACACAGATGTAAGCAAGTTTTAGAGCCATATAATTCACTGCCCTCAAATCGACGCATAGTGACAGGGTAGAACTGCCTTTGAGTTTCTGAGACTAACTGTTAAGGGAAGTAGAAAGCCCCATATTTCATCCACAGAGCAGCTGGTGGTTTCAAACTGCTGACCCTGTAGTTAGCAGCCCAGTGTGTAACCCACTAGACCACTAGGATTTATTAGGAAAGACTAGTTGCCATCAAAAAATAATAATAATAATAAGGGCATGGGATAAGGAGAATCAGGTTTAAGAAAACCTGGTTTTTAAAAAGGGAAAAGTGGAATGAAGCATTTCATCGAAAGCTATCTACCTTTCTCATAACTCTCACTAGCTTTAGAAATATATAACTAGCATTGAAATTTGATGCAGCCATTCTAATTATTTCTTACTAGAATGCAAGTTTGTAGAACCTTTGCTAGAAAATATTTTTAAGTTATTTACATTAGATGGGGGAAAGGTATCCATAGACTCAAGGCTTTCTGAATGATATAGCCGAACATAAGTTCCAAGTCTAAGCCCAGTATCACAAAGCAAAAGTATATGTAAACAATGAAAACATGACAAGAAACAGCCCTCACCTTGTGTCTCAAACTGCAACATACCCGAACGTGAGCCTCTCTTTCCCTCCGTCCGGTCATTTTGGTGACTTGTCTCAGTGAGTGTGTGCTGTCCAGTAGTCCCAGCCAGAAGTCATGGGTTCTTTTGGACTCCCTGGCTATCTCTGCTCCCAGCCATTCAAAGTCTAGTCAGTAGAATACTTCCCACATATTTCGGAAGTTGCATTGGCTTCTCTTAATCCCACGTATGGCCACCTACACTCTTATCAGGACAACAGCAATAATCTCCCGACTGTGAGCCTGCCTTTCCCCTCTTGCTCTGATTCCAGCCCTTCTAAACACATCAGTGCAGAAAGACCAGTTCCGCAGGTTATTATGACTGTATTGGGTGCCACAGGGATGATCGTGATAGGTTTTTTCCAAAGGACTCAGCTTGGTCGTCGGGGAGGGGGGGTTGTGGTTTAGGAAGACGGTTGAAGACAATGGAGAGCTGCCATGGTAGGGAAATTCCCAGAGGATTTGCACTGAGGGTTTTTCCCATCATGACAATACACCTGCTCGTTCTTGACGAGTAGGCAAGGGTGGTCCTATTCAAATTTTGTTGGAAACCCTTACCCCATCCACCCCACATCCCTCATCTCGCCTCTTCAGACTTTTTGCCCCTAGAGTCGAAGGCCACTGAAAGGGAACACAACTTGGGTCCCTGTAGGATGCCCAGACTGCCATTTTCACATGGTATGAATTAAACCACACGGAATTCTGCAGGGAAGGGTTTAGAGAGATGGAAGCATTGCCTTCAGATGAGTATTAACCTAGATGGATGAGAGGTCAAGAAACATCGCTTTGCTTTTTGACATTTGTGTTTAATAAAGGCTCCAACATTTTGTAGCAATACTTTTGACTCACCCTTTTATATTAAGCACTTGGATATTTACAGAATGAATAAATTTATTTTCTCCCTATTTCAGTTTCCACTCACCAAGAAAACAATCAGTTACCGTGCAACTTAAAACATCTCTTAGTAAAATAATTTTCTAATAATCAAATCCAAAGCTCTTTTCAGTTCAGTGGATTTGCCAGAATGTATCACAATTACTGTAAACCTGGGAGGTTTTATTATGAACTTTTTACCTTTCCTCCCTTCTTCCTTCTACCCGTTATCCCTCCCTCCAAAGGATAGGGGGTTGAAGAAGAAAAAAACCCTGCTGTCCTTAAAGTCTGTCTTTGGAAAGTGTATCGTTAGTAGACATGCACACTCACAGACACACCGTCATGTGCTCATGAAAGTCTCTCTCAGTGTGGGCGGGCCTTCCTTCCCATTCTCTCTCTGGGTTGCGTCCGCTCTTTCAACAGCTCTGTCTGCTCACCATCACAGATGGCTACTGTACACGTGTCATGCTACGCCTTCCTTAACAGTGCCCCTGTCTGATGTTATCTGTCTCTTCCCTGCTTTTTTGATCAACCAACCTTCTCACGTGTAAAGTTCATTATAATCTAACCCTAACCTCCCTATCTGAGACCACCACCACTTCCTCCCCACACTCCTGCCTTGCTCAATATCCTGTCATCTGAGCACAGTGGTCCTTTGATATTGTCTTAATAAATAATTTCATTTTTTGCCTCCTACCAAGACTCTTCCTTGGCCTTGTCAAGAAC